TACAATAAACTACTCTCTCTCTCTCTCTCTCTCTCTCTCTCTCTCTCTGTGCTAGAAGCAAAAAAGATCAAATCCCATTGTCAATCTCTCTGTCAGGTATTTTCCTGAAGGCATAGACATCTACTTTGAGAATGTTGGTGGAGCTATGCTTGATGCTGTGCTTTTAAACATGAGAGACCACGGCCGAATCTCGGTTTGCGGATTGATCTCTCAATACAACAAAGACAAGCCAGAAGGTGTACACAACCTCTTTTGCCTTGTATCGAAGCGCATTGAAATGAAAGGGTTCTTGGTATTTGATCATTGGCACTTGTACCCACAATTCCTAGAGGCCACTATTAAGCGTATCAAGGAAGGGAAGATGGTTTATGTTGAAGATATTGTAGAAGGTCTCGAGAACGCTCCCTCGGCTCTCATTGGACTCTTCACTGGCAAGAATGTCGGCAAACAAGTAGTCGTCGTTGCTCACGAATAATGCATGTGATTATTGTTGTTACATAGCAAAATGACAGTTGATACTATATTTGTTCATGTAAAGGCTTGGTACTTTGATATTATGCATGTGTAGTTTGGGTTAAGGCTTGTATGTGAGCCCTATCTGTTGGTTTTGTCTATATGTTATAGTCCTAGTATATGGGCTTCTATATGTTCTGGCTTGGGGGTAAGGCCATATTTTTTGTTTTTGAGTTAAAGTTTGAATTTGGCCCTAAAGTTGGAATAATTCCAAATTTTCTTCACATGGTGTTTGTTTTAGACCAATCAGTCTTATGTGCCTGAATTATTTTTAAACTAGGACTTGAAATTTGCCTAAATTTTCATTTTCTAATTTACCAATCAGTCTTATGTGCCTGAATTATTTTAAACTAGGACTTGAAATTTGCCTAAATTTTCATTTTCTAATTTGGAGGTAATACTTTGATTGTGGCTTTTTAGCCAATTTTAGGCTAAAATCCAAGATTGCCATATTGCCATCAAGATCAAAATTTCATCTTTCTATTGTGTTATTTTTTTTCACTTTGAGATCTTTTTTATCAATAAATTGTTTGAGGAATGGCAATATAACCATTATTTGCTGACATTTAATGGTTGTTGGAGTGCTAGTAAAATGTATTCGACTAAAATTATAGCATATCATATAGATGCTTAGCACTTGTTTAGAGGTGCAAGGGGTATTCTATGCTCGCTCATTTGAATTAAATGCATATGCAATGTCATGATGAAGTCTATGTCTGCAATATTGAGTTCTCCCTTCAACAAATCTGTATAAATTGCTTGCTAACTCTTTTTTTTAAATCGTTAGTGCTCCACTTGAATTTTCAGATATCTATTTTTACCTATAAATTTGAAATTTTGTTCAACAAATTTTCCTAAAGACACAAGATTCTTTCTGAGACTTGTAACATGTCTGATACCCAGGATTGTGCATGTGACTTTATTGAACATCTTGATTTTCATATCTCCAACTCCCATTATTTTACATGAGTCATTATTTTTTATATAAACAATATCTCAATTACATGGTTGATGCTTATAGAACCAGACCCTATTGGGAGTCATATGATCTTCCCATGCTGGAAACATATTCTCGAAGGAACTTTGATCAAATTTTTACCTAGACTCCTATGTCAGAAGTGAAGGAAACAATTAAATCAAATTCAAGAGATTTCATACTAGTGAGATTTGTAATCAATTCATCCCATGATTCTGTCATAAAACAGAGTAATATGGTTGTTTTAGCTTCATTATTAATTTTTCCATCTAGTGACATTAATTTGCTAATTAAGGCATAAAGTTCATTAAGCGCCTTTGTAAAGATGCACCACCACTCATTTTGAGATCGTAAAAATTTTAATGAAAATTTTTTTTATTAGGAAGAGTATGAATTCATAAGTATTTTTCAGCTTGACCCATAAATCTTTCACAACAGTTTTCGATGAGATGTTGAATAAAATAGACTTATCAAGTGCCAAAAAAATATATGCCATGGCCAATTCATTATTCTCATTAAATTTTTCATCATCTATTTTTGTAGGTTTATTTTCTCTGCTTTTTAAAGCCACTATGCAACTATCTTTCACCAATATTGTATGCATATTTAATTTCTAAGTTGAGAAATTTGAACCATCAAATTTTGAAATTTCATATTTAATTGAACTTCTTCCACCCATCTTCAAATATCTGCGATTTGCCACAAATCTCGTGCCCAACAAGGATCTTAAACCCTAAGACTCTAATACCAATTGTAAATGATAAAAACCAAGGTTCGGGAAAATCATAGATTGAAAAATTGCACATAAAATTAAAAAAAGAGAGATGCTAAGATTTATATGGTTCGGCAAATTGTATATGTCCATGAAACATGAAAGTTCTTTTTTACTAATAAAAAAACAAAATACAAACATGCAGAATATAAGAGTTTTTTAAACGATCTTTCAAGTCCTAGAATATGACCTTTTTCTTTATGACACCCATGCAATGATTAAAAAAAACTAACATTTTATCTATATTTTTTCTTGCATTTAATTTCTTTCTTTATAAAAGCTTCTTTTAATAAAGAGGAACCAAAGACCATCCACGTGGCCATATTCCTAATCCATTTCTTTTAGGAATAAGATGGTTTGTCTCTCTCACGTAGATATCTCATAAAAATAGAGTTTTCAAACAAGTTGACTACGTTTCCTAAACAAATAGGCTGTCGTTTAGGAACATATTAAGGCTCTTTTCTTTTCTTTTTCCTATTGTATATGAGCTTTTCTAGACATTTGCCAAGCTCAATAGGATACGTGGTAGAAAATCATTACTATCAATCAAGTTTTATCCCAGCTATTTGAGATCGCCTTTTATCAACGGTTATACCCTCAATATACAAGGAATATCCTACCATAGCATATAATGTTAGATCAAGATTCATAGTAGAGATGCGGCAAAAATTTTTCGTTAGCTGCCAACCAGTGTTATAAAAACTGGATAATCTAGTCGTTAACCACTCTGTTAGATCGGAACTGATCAGTGGTTGGTTCTGGTTTTGGACGGTTTTGGTGATCGACCGGTATTTAAAAGAAAAATTCAAAAAAATGTAGATAAATTTTCAAAAATAAAGAATTTGCTTTGTATTGCATTTTTGTAATATTCTTTATATTATGATAAATATTAAAAAAAAAATTTATTAATACTCACTTTAATTCAAAAATCGATTTGTTAAAATTTATTTTTTCATTAATTCAACTTCATTTGAATGTGTTTTGTTTCAATCATTTTTTATATGCTTTTTATATTTTAGTAGATTTTTTTTTTTTTACATCTTTTTTATTTGTTCAACATTTTTTTTTTAGCACCCGGACTTGCCCCGATAGAACGGTTGAATCGACTGGTTTATCGGTTAGACCGGTTAAACCACTTCCGGACTCATGTCCGTCTAATCATTCCGGTTCGATTTTGCGAACATTGCTGCCAACCTAACAAGATTAGTTTTTTTTCTCATCTAGGCTTGGGACTAACAATGGTGGAGTTGTGTGTATAAAAAATAACTTGAAAAAGTTACATTTAAACAACAAAAAAAGGAGATTGACAAATATTAGACTAAGATTAAAAATAAAATAATTTAAAATATTTGTCAATTGGGGAAATAATTTGTTGTCCCCTAGGAGACATGACAATAGTGTAACGTGTAGTCCTCCTTAAAGTACTAGAAAGGTTTTAGGCTAAAAAACCCTTCACATTTCTTTTGACTTTGAGGCCTTGAATGTCCAAAGTTATTTTTTCATTTTCACATCTAGGTTAACAATTCTCACCTCATTCATCATTTTTTCTCTCTTCATGGTTTTCAAGCAAAAACTTATTCCATCCTCTCTCTCTCAAAACACTTTCTTTCAAGCGGAATTTATGCCCATATATGTTATAATTAGTCCTCTACATTTTACATTTATGCCTATGTTCTGGTTGGTTTTTTTTTTTTTTTTTTTGAAGTACTCCCAGTAGAGTTTCGAATTGCTTGCTAATTCTTTATAATGATCTGTTTGAAACTAATAGTTCCATGATACTTTGAATTCTTATAACGAGCGGTATAAAAATGCTAGTCCCAAACTGCTTTGATTTGTTAGCATGGGCCTCGGAACAAATAGTTTTGGATTGAGTGTATAGGTTTTTCTGCAATAATTATATTTGGGGAGCCGTTTTATGTCACCAAGTCATTGTAGTATAGTGAAACCACATTTTAAAAAAATCAATTTGTGGTATTCGTATGACCTTATATTGCATAGGCTTTTTTTCATCCCAACAATCAATTCTAGAAATAAAATTCGATTTGTATATTAGATATTGTCAAAATAAACCCGTTCCAACAATGTATCTTGACCATCTATTTGGAAAATCTTAACATTTATGCCTTTATGAAATCAAAATTAATTTTTTTAAAAAATTATTCATCTAAAATATTTGGAAACATAAAAGGAAAAAAAAAATCATAATGTATCTTTAAAATGTCAATTTTCAAGTTTTCATAGATTTGCTTGATCTACACTATTTTTTAAGCTTTAAATTTTATAATTAGATATGCAACTATATTTTAAGGCTATTACAAAGATTTCCAGTATTGAAACCGCATTTCTCAATACTATTTGAAGATGCACCGCATTTCTCAATACTATTTGAAGATGCACGCTGCTTTGATAGTTTAGAGCCTTGGCTCTATACAAACCGCACCCTTCAAAAAATATACACATCTAACTAACTTTAAGACAAAATAGAATACCTAGATAATTTGCTAGTATATTTATTATTTTTGAAATTTGAAGCCTTCATTTTATTTTTTTTTATTTTTTCATGGTTATAATATTCAAGCCGAAACAATCCATGTAAAGATTTTCTTATCCTTGAAGGGTGCGGTTTCTATAAGGTTGCAACCTTAAACAAGCCAATTAAGGTGAACCTCCAAATTTTATTGTAACAAATGATTTTGATATAAATTATTTTTAGAATTGTCTAAAAATATATTTTTATATTTAATTATAAAATTTTAAACTTCAAAAGTCATTAAAATTAAGTAGATCTATAAATATATGAAAATCTTGAAATGGACGGTCTAGATAATATGTTGTGAGATGTACTATTTTTGGAAATCAAAATCTATTTTTTCTCATATTTGTACATCTCGATATTGAGATGATCAATTGTAGGGTTTTTTAATATTAAAATAACCTTTTTAGATAGATTTTTTTGGTGCATTAATTTTACATTTTAAGATTGCAACTTTATATAAACTTTTTTCATACTTAAATTGCAATTTTAGATGAGTTATGGGTGAGGCTTATTTAAATAGGGCAGCAGCCCTGATGAACCATTTTTGGCAACTCTAATCATGAACAGGTGGGAACACCTACATCAACTGGAGGTAGAAGTTCTAGAGAGAGAATGAGAATTTATAAATAGAGAGAGAAAGTGTTTGTGAGAGTTGAAGAGCTCGAGTTATATCGTAAGAGAGAGAGAGAGAGAAAGCTCAGAGAAATTGGGTATTTTTCCTTACAGAGAGAGAGAGATTGGGTGTTGTTGTTAGAGAGAGGAGGGCTTAGAGAAATTGGGTATTGTTCGTAGAGAGAGAAACACCAACTCTATATATATATATATTATTTTTTTTTGAGAGAGAAATCGGAGAGGAAATGGCACTAGGAGAGGAGGCGAGTAACAGGCAGATCATATTCAAGGACCATGTGACTGGTTTTCCTAAAGAGGAAGACATGGAAATGGTGTCAAGTTCCATTAAACTCGAAGTACCAGAAGGCTCAGAGGCTGTTTTAGTAAAGAACCTGTACCTCTCTTGTGACCCTTACAATGAGGCTTAAAATGACCAAACTAGAAAACTCAACCTATTTGGCTGGGTACGAACCGGGCTCTGTAAGTGCCCTTCTCCTCAATATCTTCCTCTGTTTTCATGGATTACAGTGAAATTTCTCCTCTTCTTTTTTACTGTCCATCTCTTTAACAATTTCGTCCTTTTATATGGAACTGTTTATATACAAAGTGTCTCCTGAAATCCTCATCTGAAAAGCACTTTGTGGCTCTAGAATAAATTTCTAAAACCGGCAGTAAAATTTATAGATAAAAAATGGTGTAGGTCTTGCGGATATATGAACACTTATTTTTAGGGTGAAACCGATGATTTAACATGATTTGTTGCAGTATGTATTATTTTTTAAAACTTGAAATCTTAATTTTTTTTTCACAATATAATATTTAAGCTGAGATAATCAATTCAAAGGTTTTTCAACACGAATTGCAATTTTTTTTTATGAGTTATATAGTGAGGCTTTACTTATTTTGGTAGGGCTGCAGCCCTATCAAACTATTTT